CTTGAAATTTGATTGGTCAATCATTATAATGCGATATATAAGCACATCGCAGGGCTGCGATGCCTAATTAAGTCCTTAAATATATTATTCAAAAAAAAACTTGTTATATTTATCAAAAACTTTTATATAGTATAGCCAATCAAAACCATGCATTTTCCTGTTACACCTGATCTTAAAAATTTGTTTGGCCAAAATTACAGGGGTAAAATTTTTTGTGGGTACGCTAAGCGCGAGGCATTTCAGTTCATGAACTTATAGAGGATGTCACAGAGCATTGGTAGAAGCTGTGACGAACTCAAAAAAGAATATGACACCTGTTTTAACAAATGGTATTCTGAAAAATTTCTCAAAGGAGACATGCGACCCGAATGCGAAGAAATATTCAAAAAATACCGCGATTGTGTTCTGGTAATGCATTATAGAATTTCTTTAGTCAGATTCGTTTATCGAACTTAGATAGATTTCAATATATTCATTTTACCGAATTATCAAGAATGCAGTAAAGAACAAACAAATTGACAAATTGTTGGGTGAAGCACGTAAAGATGATCCGTTTTCTTCCGTCACTGAAAATAAATAAAATCCAATCAAAAATATTCTACCACTAGGGTTGCGACCTTTTTTGACATTACATGGTTCGAGTTTGGGAATCGGAATTTTACTTCATTTAGGATAATAACCAAAACTGAATATATGTCCCATTTTCAATAGCATCAAACTCCAAAACCGGCCAAATTTATTAAATGCTATTAATACAAGTAATTAAAAAGTTCATTGTTATTTTCATAAGTGATTTAGCGATTAAGAAAGGTTATTAAATAAAATTGATAGGTCCAATAGTTATATCAAATGTATATAAGCGAAAAATTACATCCAAAATAAAACTTCGAATCATGAATCTTTTGCAGTATAGGTGATCCCACTTTATAATCTGTTGATTAATAATATATATTAACAGGTCACCTATACTGCAAGAATAATGAATAAATGTTAACCACATTTCCTTCGAAATTCGAGAAGTGCCTAACAGTTTTAGAAAAGTAAAAACCCTTAATAAAGATTGATTCCTTATCAGCTATGTAGCCCTGCATTATGAATTGATAAATGAATTATTCGTGATCATGGTCCAATTTCTAGTTACGAACCATGATCAGAAAGATATCCGATCCTCAAAACAATTCAAACTAGAAAAAAGTACTGTACCGTTCTCAGTAAACTGACATAAAATCTATGGAAGCAAGGCTAATTATGTTGACACAAGTAATAAATTGTTAATCGCACCGGATCAATAACCATTGATGTCTTATCGAATATAAGCAACACCATAGCATTCAATTTAGTATAACATGGTGATTGAACCCACTGAAACAATCTTTACCCAGGTATTATTATTAGATTACTCGCGTTATCCGGTAAATTATTAGATATTTCGGATAATCATATAGCAACAGTTTTTACTCGGGTCCGATCCTTAAGTATACAGTGACATTAATTTTCGTTCTATCATCAGACATAAAAAAAAAAATAATAATAATAATACATACGTACGTACCTTCGATGCTCTTACCGGTGAAGCATATCGATATTAGCTCTGCTAACTGGCTAAAAACCAACATATTACCTATGGTCAGGTCGCCAGTGAAATTGATTTTGTGCAATTCACGTGTAAATCGAATACTGGGGTATGACGATCTTTTCTAGATTTTATTTTATCACTTTACCCAACTTCGTTTATACATACCGTGCAGCGCGGACCATAGTACCCCCCCCTCCACATCAAAGTACTCTCTATAAAAATTTTCGCAGTTGAATACAAGATACCCTGGTACTTTACAGAGTGAAATACCCGGGTATTAACTATTTAGCATATATTATTACTATGTAAAATACTCCTCTTATATAATACCCGAGTACTACCTTGGATTTTAACTGTGGAATGTATCGTATCCGGGGTACTATAGTCCGCGCTGTACGGTATATACATGCTAATGAACTGTGTTAGCTGTTCTATCTAACGAAATGATCTGCTTTACTAAACCACGGTAACTAATGCTAATTCGGCTACTATTTTTGTATTTAATCTTTTTGTTTTTCACGGCTATCCATTCTCAAGAGAATAACACCATCATCTTTGATATATCTAAAATTTACGTTTTCACATCCATTTATTATGGAGATCTTGAAGTCGGCATTCGTAAGTTCATAAGACGGACACTTACAAACAGGTGTAATGTTAGTGTAACATGCGATGGAAGCAGCGTCCGAAATTGGGTTGCAGAGCTTGCGGATCGCAAACAATTTAAATTCATATAATCGGCAGGTATACGGCTATATACCATGCAAGATTCCCTAATTCCAATGGATTCCTCTGATGAATTTTGATTACGTGGCTAATCTATTCCACCATTTAATTTGAATGCCTATTCTATTTCTGGGAGCTTTTTCTTTTAACCTTCACAATTAACAAATATAGATCCTTCAGAAACATATCCAAGCTAGTCACCTTACTAAGCATCCTAAATAAAACCCTATTCTTGTCACATTGATTTTAAAAACACTTAAGTTTGTAACACTGGACTCGTTTGGTTTTTAGATAATCTCGTATGATTTTAATAATGATTTTAAAAGTCAAAAAAGGCAAATTTTTCATACTAATTCGGTTATTTATATATGCGTTGACGCGTCATCTTATCACTCGGATAAATAGTATACGATCATTTGGGTAATAGCCAATAATGTATAATAACAATTAATAGATTACTAGACACGTACTTTAATTAGATTAGTAATTTACTTGATCAAAATAAAAATCGAGTTCTTATGCTAATAACAGCAATACCTTTGTCATCATAAAACTCATTAGGTGACCAAATTAGTTTCCATATTGCCCAAAGTTAGATCAATTATGGTAATATCAAATGATGTAAAACAAAAAGAAAGCATAATTATAGTATGCATATAATTTTGAGTTGATAATTATTTTTTCTTATTATAGGAAGCTGTCGATTTTCTATTAGCAAATCCGCTCTTTAAAAAAAAAATTTATGATATATATATATATATATAGATCAGAACTATGTTATAACGCAGAAATACAAAAATAAAAATAATATAAACGGTAGTCAGTCTTTACCAGGCCTATTTCAGCCAAGTCTTCGTTAATGTCACTATCGCATAACTTGTAAGACACGGAAGGTCGTGTAGCACTAAAAAGTTAAGGACATAACGAATCAATTGGGTCATGCGGTACTAAATTATGAAACATAAGTAACAAAAAAGGATATCTGACATTTTTTGTTTTTTTACTTTAACTTCAACCTCTTGTGTTGTCCTAGTACGTAATCTTCGTTGTGTATGGGTCCTCATAGTACCGTCCATAGCAACATCTTTAATTAAATTGTTCAAAATACTTAAAATTTATCCCGAAAATTCGAGCTCAAAAGTAACTGAAAATTTCAAATACCGTTATGTATGTCATAACTTTCATAATCTTCTGAGAGTTTTCTTTTCCTTTCTTCGACTTCTGCAATTAATCTGTCATTGACTGCTTGACGTTGCGCCTAAGAAAATATCAATATTATTCACTTATATTATCAAATTTGCAATTTATAATGAATTATACGTACTTGATAAGATTCTTCAAGGCGAAGTGTTTCAGCTTCATACTCTTTCTGTATACACTGACGTTGATAATTTAATGCCAACGCATGTTGTTCGAGCATTTGTTCTCGCTTATCAATAATTTGCTGCAAACGTTCCTCGAATTCAGGATGTGTGCCTGAAATAGTAATGATTCATATAGTGTCAATATTGGTTCTATCATTTAAGCATTTAAACATTTCATTAAAATATACCTTCTCGCACAGCCTTGATTTCTTCATCGATATGCTTTAATTGTTCATTAAATATCCTATAAACACGTCACATATTGAATAAAAGTGAATGATTTATAAATGCACCTAAACACGTCTGGTTGTTGAGAGGATTATTTTTTCAGGATCTTTTCATCTAAACCTTAGGTGTTTGAGGTTATTGCAATTTGCGGAATTGTGACCTTCTGATAAAAAGACGGACCCTTTACATGTCATATAAAGGAATGATGAGATTTCATAAACAGAAAAGAAAAATGATACATACTCATCACGTTTTTTTCTGAACTCCGCTTCTAAGGCGTGTAACCGGAGTTGTATGCTTTGTCGGGTTTTTAAAGTATCATGGTCAATTTGTGTACGAGAGTTTGCTAAAGGAAAAGTATTTAAACATAAAAAAGCGCGAGTAAAATTGTGTATAAGGTTTTCTGTAATTGAGAGAATGAAGCTTAGAATTAAGGATGCAACATACTTGCAGAAGATTCCGCATCTTCACGTTCAGGTTTAATTCCTTTAATTGCCTCATCATCAGTCTTCGATGTTTCTATGACAAATTGTGAGTCACTACCGTCCAAAACCGTGTCTTGCATTATAATATCATGATCCTGGGCTTGTTCCCCGTCTGACGACTCTCCCTCGTAATAACTGGGTTTCGCTGTTTGGCGCTGCACCCGTTTTGTTTTGGTGTGGGAATTTTTATGGTCTGCAGGCATTCGTTGAAGCAGGTAAAATTATTATTAGTTATCGAATAAGTTTGGTAAATTTTGGTAAAAGAGTGCGGTGATATAAGTTCGGGCTTTTACTGACAATTAAAATTTGCATCATAAAATTTTGAATATCGATATTTATCGTTATCCTATTTTAGATTTTACTATTATCTTTGTACACGGTTTCACCAACGCATAAAAAATTCTGTGCCAGGTTTTGTCGATCCTTTATCACATGGTTATACAACTCATATCTGTATCAGAAAAATTCTAATTCGCTATCGCTATTTTTTTTTATCACAGGATTAAGGTGTAATGTTTGTATGAGGCGAAAAAAAAACATTAGCGTTAGGGTTTGTACGGTACACAGCAAATCAGTGCTTAGACTTTTGCAAAAATCAGCATTTGATGATTTTTATGCGACTTTGATATTTGTATGTAAAGACCGGATAAGTTAAAATGCTGTGCATAGGATTGTACTAAATCATAATATGTTAATATAATCCAAACTTTGATTATAGAGCATATATCTAGATATACATCTCGATAAAAAATCTTAATTTTTCAAAATCCCGATTTGCTATATACATTCCAACAAATGAAAATTTTTTAGCGGCCAAATTTAAAATTTAATTTTTATTTATAATGGTATATGGCCAAATTATTATTAATTTAACAGCCAATTTAACTTAGAGTGGCCAAATTTAACATATAGAGCGGCCAAATTTAGGCCAAATTTGCTTATTTAATAGTATATTTAAGCGGCCCAATTGCTTGTTTAATTATAAAATTGCCTTGATTTTTTTTTTTATGCGAACTTTTTTATTGGGTTTTTGGTAGTGCATTCTTGGTTAGTGAGAGTATAGGTGCAACTTTTGGTTGCCTATTTAAGTAGTCCGCCTGAAGATTCTACACTACCTGCCATATCTATAAACTCTTTGGCATCCTCCATTCTATACCACCCCTACAGTTCAATTCACATACTTCGTGCTGCTACTATATAGAGACCATCCAGGCTGGGATTTTCCTACTATCTTCCTTTGTTATAGTTAATTCTTTAGAATTTTACCATGGTGTTTAATCAAGGTGGGTGTAGTAGATACCTCTCTAATTCTTTTACATTCTACATATTTTCTAATTAGATATTACTACCAAATTTAAAGACTAGTACTTGTGGTTTTTTACTTTCACTATACTAGCAATCTTCCAATTCAGATAGATAGTTTAAAATGAAAACCTTTCTTTTCTAGTTGATATTTTAGTAGCCTAGTTAGTAAAGTGCTTTGTTTTAAAACATTTGGTCTTTGTCTAGTTCTATTTTTTTCCAATTCAGTCATCTTGCCTTATTTATTATGGTACCAGTCTTTCAAAAATTACAATAATTTTATCTAATAACTATAGAGGTACAATCAAAATAAGACTCGCATATATATCAGGTGCAATCTGCCTAAGTAGCTCTTGGTCTCTCTCAAATCCTTAACTCACTAAGGATTTTTTTCTTGTTATTTATTGGCTGGCAGCTATCTGCCTTATCAAGAAACAAAATAAGAAAAAACATAAAATATACTAAAAAAACATAGAGGTATAGAGGGATATGATGAAAATATACAAATATGAAAGAAAAGTATGTAAAGGAATATCGAAAAAAAACAAAAAAAAAAGCAATTTTGCTTATCTTAATGTTACTATTATAAGCCTGTGCATAACTTGAAAAAATTACATACTGATTAGACAAATTAGTCTCTACTTTTATTTTTTTCTAAACTAGTATATGAAAATAAAAACTTAATAGAAAAAACTTTATTGACCAACTTAAGGTAGAGAGGTTAGAACAAAGTCTCAAAGCATCATTTGTACAGATATCTATTGCATTTGAAACATGTATATATACGTGTTTGTTGTTATGTTCTGATTTGGAAGATAAACAATCATTTGAAGGAGATAAGCTAAAATGTTCACTTTTTACAAAAATTTTCTTAAAAAAAAGTAGTGGCCCAACAAGAGTATATAAGGTTCTTCTTGTAAGTTTTATAGTTGTATAGTTCAGCTTTTCTATTTTTACCAACTTAAGAGTGAATGTTGGCTATTTTTACAGACTTGTTTTCAGAATAACCTTTCTTGTCTAGTTCTATTAGCCTTGAAAATAGTCTATTTCAATAATATTGTTGAAGATTTGTATTACTTTTTTATTTAAAACTTGCCAAACAGATATTTGTTTTTTTGATTTTTCAAATTATATAATCACCTTTATATCATTTTTTTTTTTTTTTTAATCTTTAAAGGTGAGGCCTTTTGTATAATTTATATATTGCGCAAATCTTATAATCTTTTAATCTTATTAATACTACCAAAGTTATAAAATTTTGGTTTAACTAATCATTGAAAACAATAGCTATACAATAAATAAATTATTTAAATTTTGTTATTATAAGATTTTAACTTCTAATCTGTTATTATATAAATAGATTGTATTATATATTTTATTAGTATAGTTTATATTTATTATATATATATTTTTAATTAAAGTTTATTAATAGAATTTTTAATCAACACAAAACTCTTTTTAGTGATTCTTGATTAACAAGTTCAAAAAATCTAAACTACAGAAAAACATTATAAAAGATATCAAAGAGTAATAATATACTTGTTTTATATAAGTAGATGTATTGTTAACAAAGTACTAAGAGTATAAAATCAGATATGCATTTAGGGAGATCTGACTATAGTAAATATTTACAAACTCAAAATATATATTAGAAAAATTATGAATAAAAGTGTTAGGGAAACAATAATATTAACGAAATAAAAATATCAGGAAAATGGGAATGTTAGTAAATAAAAGTGCTAAGAAAATCAAAATTAGTGAAAATTGATTAGTAAAATTATCGTAATGAAAGGGAAAAGCAACTATAAGGAAAAAAAATAAGTGAGTTAAGTGAAAACTAAGTCTAAGTATAAATTATGTATTTAAATAGTCTTGGATAACTTGGAAGATATATTTTTATAATTTTTTCATCACCAAAATAATTTGTAAGTTCACTTAAAGATGGGTACTATGCATATATTAGAATCAGTTTTAATAATTTAATAAGATACTTACACAAAGTGAACTCTATGTTATGTATTAATTAAGGTCATTGCACTGCTATACAGCCATAGAGCCTTATATTTACTAATTCCCATTAAGCTACAATCATGCTAAGCAAACTCTAATTCATAGTCAATGAGCTGCAATTAAAGTCTTTGTACTGCTATAGAGCCTTATATTTATTAATGCTTAATGGTATAAGATACAAAAGTTAAAACATGGGGTGTGGTGACTTAGTAAAGTGATTGGGTTGTTACTCTCCAAGCAACACATCTAGAGTTCAATTCCCACTAACAGCAAAAAATTAAATTCTTTTGTAATGGCAACTCTCTCATATATTAGAAAGAAGATCCTGTAATATCAGTCATACCTTATATAGAAAGAATATCTATTGCACTATCGGGTCAATCTAAAGGAGATCTCGAGGCATTTGTATAATGTACGAGTTGTACAAAGAAAATACAAAACTGGTAAGGTGGCGTAAACTCATAATAAGTCCTCAGATCGTATTAATCTGATGAATAATGCTATAGAAAACCCACTTAGCAAGATCTGAATAGAGAGGTAGCACAAGCTTTCAATAGTGCTTACTAGAATAGGCTCCACCCGAGGCTGAAAAACTGGACGAGACAAGAGTATCAGCAAGTTACTCTACCAACCAGACCATCAGGTCGACTAGGAAAAGACTGATGTTCTTTTCAGACTATCTGGATTGGTAGTCTGAGGAGACCGGCTAGGAGATACTGAAAGGGAAGGTACTAGGTTGTCTTGAAGGAAGGATATCAGAGCTTGGGTGAACTTTGCAAGGGCCATATAGTTAGGCGGTGTGGCCTGCCCGTAAAGGTTTAGAACCTATCCGGCTACCTATCTGTGATAGAGATTGGCAGTGGGGCCTGCTTGTAAAGGTATAGAACCTATCTGGTAATATCTATCTGAAAAAGACTAAATCATATGTTAAAAGTGGGTGACAAATAGCTCTAACAGGTGATGCACTTAAGGATGAATTAGTAATACCAGTAGTTCTAGAGATGAACTTACGACAATCTTAGAACTTGGACTAACTAATATATCACATGTTCTGGGTGAAGTTAAATGGATTAGCATAAAAAACTCAGATCAGAGGGTTTAATTAGGTAGCTTAAGTAATAGTAGGTTACAGGTACAACATCTAGTATAGAACCTAGTAATAGGTAGATACTTAATTAGATACTCAAAAGATGCAGATATGG